TTCAAAACTCACCTCTGTTTTTTCTAGTAGAGGTAATGCATCGATTAACAATGTTATCCAAAACCTAAAAAATAATAATACAAAAGCTTTACAGATGAAGATTATAGAAATTGAATTCCTCATGAATCTTAAAATGTACCCTTACCAGTGAAAAGTCAGCTTTACACAGTATGTAACCTAATCAGAATGATAGAGAACAAAGGAAGTGAATATCTTACTGCTTAGGAGCCAGACGAGCTTGTAACAGAGCTAAAAGTAGGTCCCCAGCAGCTCTGTACTCCCCCTCAGAATAAAGCTTGTGGAACTCACGATATTTACCTTCAAACATACCACATTTGACGTAAATCAAAACTCAAGGGTAAAGAATGAAATTTAGGTACATCATGAAAATGTTAAGATGTTTTTTTTGATTTGTAATTCAAGCATACTCAAACATTCATTAGATGAAAAGTTATTTCTACAAAAAAAAATATGATACAATTTACCAGTAAATAAAATAACTCAAACCTAAAAATGTAAGTCTGTTGCTTAGCAACATGGATGGACCTAGGTGATCTATGAGGTCAAGGTTCGTGAACTCTCCATTTTCACTGTACTCTAGTAAAAATCTGACAGAAAAGTAAAGAATACAACTATACAAACTATATATATATATATTGCCGAAATACTTTTATCAGAGATTTGCTACTATTTGAACAAATAAAGAGGTAAATGTATACTGATGGGTCAAATATACATACTTTTCTGCAAGAACTGTGGCAAATCCAACATCCTGGAAAATTAGGAGAAAAGAATTTTTGAATGTAAATCTTTTATCTATTAACTTTGCTAGATGTTTTTCTTACTTGCTCTTTATTTCATAAACTCTTGGTGTTTTGAGCTTAAAAAAAGATGGTTTTAATTAATCATACAATATACGAGGGCTGTTCGGAAATTATTGAGACAATTACATTTACTCCATAAAGGACGGAGATAATTTCAGGAAAATTCATCAACATTTTATAAAGAACGAATAAAACACTTATGCAAAATTTCTAATTCCTATGATAATAAGAAAAGTTTCGGTGAAATAATAAACATGTATATGTCTATCGACCCGGAGCAGCATCAATACGTCGTTTTAACATCACATCAGCCAGGGATGGTTTCGCATGTAAAACGATCGGAAAGCATTTAATCCTTTTTCCTTCTTTGTTATTACATATAACAGTACAAAATTCAAACAGTCTCTTTTCTTAAACTATTCATTAAAAATTTATGCTGTTGCTACCCGAGTGTAATATTTTCATTTGTGGGAAAAGATGACTTAAAATCATGCAGTGCCGATTTATGCAACGCGGGTCAACGATATTAATACCGTAACGATATTAATACTGTGCGTAATAACTGATGGTCGTCCGGAGCTTTTGATTTTACTCTGGTTGAATTAATTGTAAGAAAAAAATGTATACCAATGAAATAACAAACCCTAACACATTAATTTTTTTCTCGTAGTTAGTATTTTAGCAGGTCATTGTGTCTGGAAAAGAGTTTTACATTGCGCTACACAAAATATTAGGTATGTTCGCTGCTCCGCGCTTGACGTCAAAATCCCATTTTTTCGTTCTTAGCAGATTTCTCTACCGCGCTTAATTTTTTTATGATCTCCGTATTTCTGATCAAAATTCTATCAAAGTTGCACAAAATGAATTTGAATTAAAGCTGAAAAATTATACACATAAAAAGAATTATTTTCGATCTTATTATGGGTCCACGAAGAGTAAGAACGTTGGTGTTACATATTTTCAATATCTGATTTCGAGACTGCTCCGGGTACCCCTACTGATGACGCATTTATATACCATTGTACAGAAAATATTTAATATTTGTAAAATATTTTTTGCTTTTATGAATTCTTAATGTATGTCATACGTATATGCAATTTTTCACGGAAAGACATTCATTAGAAAGCAAAATATACACAATGTCTCAATAATTTTCGAACAGCCCTCATAATGTGATCTCAAAACAAAATCAAAATTTAGTCAGAGTTAAAGGAAATATCACATTATGCGGATATTCCCCCGCCACTACTTAAAAGAAATTATTTACAAAACATTCAAAATACAAAATACTAAAATACTATAAAATATTTTTTCCTACTTTTACATGATGTCTTACCTTTGACCTCAAAAACCAAGTGAGAGCAGCTCCAAGTCGTTTGTTCTTAATACACTTCATCCCCATTACTTTACAGATACTTTTGGCTAAAAATTATTATAAAACATATAAATACAAATCTTTTCACAATACAAATATCTTTACAGAACTTTTGGCTAAAATTCCTAAAAAAAAATCACCATAGAAATCTGTTCATAGTACAAAACTGCTCACAACATTTTTATCCTCGTGCTTTAGCAAGAGGTCAAGATAATTTTATAAGACAACATATGGAGGCCATAAAATGGCAATTATCTGCTTTAAGTGAAGACTTATTTTTCTATACCTAACTTTCTCCAAAGAAGTACATCAACATTTACAAGAAATTTAAATCCAGAGTCAGACCCATTCTACAAGTTGACAGAATATGATAAATAGGTTGTCTCCCTTACATTGTTCTGTCATGTTGCGATCTTCACAAATCTTCAGAATTTTGTTTGCCTTCCGCTCAGAATCTACTGGGATGTGATCCATATATAATTCAAGGTATTTCCTACAATGAAATAAAATTAAGTAATCTACATGGGCACTTTAAAATGAAACTGACACTGTCAGTTAGCCAACAAATAACCGAATTCTTATGGTAAAAGATTGTTAAGAAATAAGAAATCAAACTGACCTTCCAAATTCTGCACAATGGTCAAGATAACTAACACCAACTATCCACAAACTGAAGAGAAAAACAGAATAACATTGCACAGTAATTACGAATTCAGATATTGCTATTTACAAAGGACATTTTTGTAAAGTCCTAAAATTTCAAATACTCTTTATATTTTATCAATTTAAAGAGAGAGAGAGCAGAGATTGAGGAGCTCATTTAAGCCCTCACAAAGATGTCAAAAGTATCATTTTAATTGAGGGAATTTCTGAGTACAGTATAATCTCACCTTTCGTGTGACATGAGGGAACTGGCATATTCTAACAGGAGGAACTCCCTCAGATCTGAACCAAATCTGTAGTCAACAGAATGCAACTGAATTGATTACATAATTACTGGTACACAGACAACATAAATTTATCTCCTTTCTTGATGTGACCCCCATTTACTGGTTTTTACATTTTATGTATGAAGATACTGTAAACATATTACATTTAGCAGTGTATTCTTTTTAGCGATTTTGGCGGAAAGCAGAGTTCGCTAATTCAAGTGCATCACTAAATGTTTTGTATATTAACTTTTATAACTAGAAAAGTCAGACAGCACTAAATCAAATCTATGCTAACTTGTTGAAAATTAAATTTCCTCCAAATATCGTACACGCCAAATTTAATACATTTACAGTATATGAGGATCTTATTTGACTGAACCCATCCTGCAGAGTAAAAAGTTAAAAATCTAAGTTCACATACAACTTTTTGTCACTACAAAGACTTTTTTGTCAGGTTAACTTCAGATAATCATGTCAAGTGAACTTACTGTAATCTGTGAGTGTCCAGCTGTCCACAATGTTGAAGTAGATCTGTTAGGTGTGCTACGAACCATCCATTACTGAACACTGACCTGACAATGAAATACAAAAAATTATAGCAACAAACTATGTACAGGTACTGAGTTATAAAGGGTACTGATGTATTTACTAAAGGTTATTATCCACACCATACAGTAACTACTTAAATCTCTTGCCTAACAAACTTTAAAACATACTAAGTAATATATACAATTTACTTGCCATTTACAAAATTCTGGAAGTATTTAAAGATTACATGTGATGATAAATTGGGATCTTATGCTGCAATAGGACAGAACTTAACAATGATGGTTGTTTCTGCATTTAAGGTTGCAGCAAAGCCCTCCTTCTCTTTCCGAAATTACAATTCGCCCTGCAGTATCTCCGACATTACCTGCTGTCCTTGATGACTTGGTACACGTCAGACTCGAGCGTGGACCGTAAAATGTTGTCTAGTTCTCCCATCCTTGTACTGCTTCTATACTCATCCTGACATCTCTATAGTATCAGAAACAAGATGTACACATATGCATATCAGTCTTTTACATTAGTTCAAATACCGTATAAGTAGAATTTTTAGAGAGGACTTAATTTTTTCATTATTAGCGAGGGCCATGAGATCGCTAAAATTGAAGACCGCTAAAAATTAATTGCATTTTATCTCTAATAGCTGCTTTAGTAAGCATTTTAATATTGCTAAAATTCCCTTTCACGAAAAATAAATTACAATTTTTAAGGAGAAACCGCTAAATTTACATCTTGCTAAAATTTCCACTTATACAGTATAAAGCATGCTTAAATCAAATATGCTTTATACATAAATTATCAAAATCCAAGCGCTCAACACACCCTCTTGAAAGCTCCCCGCCCACCATCAACTTTTAAAGATATTTTCTACATACTAGCACAAACCATTTTAAAACCCAATTTCATCTGCCTTCAACTTAATTTAAAATTTGTAAATTGTTAATTTACCTGGATATAATAATGAAGATCACAGGCTTTAATTGTGGGGTCCTGGTAGAGGGCTTTAGCTATCAGCATGTGATACCAGGGGTCACAGAAGTCCTTCACTTCACTGAACACCGCGTCCTCACCACACAGAATCTACACAAACATAAACAACAGAGTCAAACAACCGGTAGTTATACCGTTCTTACTAAGGAGGCTGGGGGGGGGGGGTCAAAAAATTAACCATCAGTATAACTTAATGTTTTAGAAATGATATCTTAAGCTGTCAGCTATCATTTGGCAAAGAAAAATTTCATTGTTACATTTTAGCTTTAAAATTTGATCATTTTTGTATATCTTTATATAGAGCTCTACTTCTAAAGGAGATCAAAATAGTCTGAAAATGGTCCCAACCAATCAGCTTATTTAACATAAGTATACTTTTTGGTCTTCTCATAAATGATTCTAGAATAACACATCCTCATTTGCAAACTATAATTTACTGGCAGCAAAAATTAAAATAAGACTACTCCATTCAGAGAGTAAAAAGATTCTTATTTATTATAAACACTTCATAATTTCTGAAATTAAAATTCATTTCACAATTTAATGAAAATGCCCCTGACAAGACATCAACAATTGCAAGCTATGCTCTAAATACATGTATAAAATGACTTTATTTCATTTCATATATGTATTAAATTTTAATCCTAGGTACTGTCTTTCGAAGAATTTATAATCTGCATAATTGTTACCCTGACAACTGTTTCTAGATTTGCGTTTGTGGAGAACTTTTGTTCCTCATAGTTCCTTTGACATTCGTCTCTCCAGTGTCGCCACTTCATGTCAAACTCCGCCACTGAACTACCCCTGTATAATTGCTGTAACGGAACAAAATATTATCATACTGCTATAATGTCACTGAACTACCCCCGTTTAAATGCTGTAACAGAACAAATATTATCATACAGTTATAACGTCACTGAACATCCTTAGTTTAAGTGCTTAAACAGGAATAAATATACAGGTAATCCGACTCAGTGTCAAACTCTGCCACTGATCTTCTATCAAAACTGCATCAGCTAAAACAGGATCTGATGATTCTTGCCTTCATACTATGTCAGTTAAGAGCTGTACATGAAAAAGCTAACGGATGGATAGAGAGACAGTTGAATTGACCTGCATGACACAATAAAATACTTAAGGTATTTCCATCCTCCTGTGATGTCAAAGGTTTTTGCCAAAACTGTTACTAATTTAAATTCATACCCATGTAGCACAATATCTTTTGGAAGAATGCTTTTAAATAGGTGTAATGATAAACATTGTTAAGTAAAAGAATTCTAACCAGAAGTCTCTGCCAAGACTGAAGCTCTACTGGTTTGTACTTATAGTAAAGGAAGAGAAAAGTGCTTAAGCAGTTGGGAATTGAAACTTTACAACAGCAATAAACAGAATAATGATCCTTGATAAAGTCTCTTTATGTTCTTAGTGTAGTCTACTTGTGTGCCAAGTTGTATTGAAATCAGACCAAAACTGTAGGAGGAGTAGCATTTTGAAACAATTTTATAGACATTTTTATTTTTAGTAACCATGGCAACATCATTCATGGAAATCAAAAACCCAATTATGGATCTTAGTGTAGTCTACTTGTGTGCCAAGTCATATTGAAATCAGACCAAAACTGTAGGAGGAGTAGCATTTTGAAACAATTTTACTGAAATTTCTATTTTTAGTAACCACGACGACACCGTTCATGGAAATCAAAAACTGATATTCAATTCAATTCAATTCACTTTATTGACAATTACCATGTCGGCATACAGTCATGAACATGAATAACATAGCATAAATTAACATAATTAATACAAGTATATACAAAGTGAGAAATATGAGGTGAACAAAATTGTGTATTTCTCAATATTAATATTCATTTTTGACTTTCTTTTCTGGTGTCAAAGCACTTTTTCAAGAAACAACATATCCTTCTAGCAGTTGAAATATTTGTAGGATTGACAATTTTTCTAATGGGGTTATCACTAGTATATGTGTTTACATTAAATATATCATTATAATTGCATCTATATTGATCATACTTTGGACAATAAAGAACAAAATGTTTTTCGTCTTCAACAAACAATTTACATGAGTAACATAAACGTTTTTCTCTAGGAATAGGGGGTTTACAGTATCTACCCGTTTCAATATATAGTGGATGGGTACTGATCCTTAATTTTGTTAATAAAGATCTACAACTTTTCTTCAGGGGTAGTTTTAAATAACTTTGCAGTTTGTATTCATCTTGATTCACAATTTTGCTATAAAATGCTAACTTTCCAGAGTCTGATTTGCTAACTTTTTTCAGTTGTTCATATATCTTGTTTTGGTAATGCTCTTGTAAATTTGTTTTTCAAAGTTATGTGAGATATTTCCAAAGAACTAATATTTAATTTTTGTAGTAATGAAGACAGTTTCTTTTGCCAAGATATTTTAGATACAAGATTTTTGTCTTCTTTAAATGCAGATACCACTAAATAATTGTTATAATCATGGTTGCATTCCATTTCCTTCAGTCTCATATAATATTTTAACATATATTCATAACATAAATAGTACAAAATATATATACAATACAAGATATACAGAATTATGTATCTTAGTGTAGTCTACTTCCAGGCTACTTGTGTGCCAAGTTATATTGAAATCAGACCAAAACTGTAGGAGGAGTAGCATTTTGAAAGAATTTCACAGAAATTTCTATTTTTAGTAACCACGGCAACACCGTTTACCGAAATCAGAAACCGATATACAGAATTATGTATCTTAGTGTAGTCTACTTGTGTGTCAAGTTATATTGAAATCAGAATAAATCAGAGGAGTAGCATTTTGAAAAATTGCTTACAGACAGATGGACAGCTAGACAGACGGACAGATGGACGGACACCGGACGCATTACTATCGCGTAAGCTCTTCTGGTCTCTGACCAGTAGAGCTAAAAATCAATATTTTCTTTCTTTGATCAATTATTCAATCTTTAAAAAATGTTGACAAGGGAAAAATCTCCATCTCAGGTCTCTTCATTCAAGCATTTTCTGTATAAAATTGTACTTCTAATGTAAAGTAGTGCCCCTGATATTTACAGTACAAAAGAATCTTACAAGTAGCAAGTAGCAAGTGTTTTGGAACTTTTAGCATCAGAATTATGCATTTGAGCAAGTTTTTACATAATTTCTATAAATACTGTTTGCAAAAAATGTTCAATTTTTTTATGTTCACACATACATCTGCTAATTCACGTCTCCCATATATTAAATAATATGGCAACCTATACATTTTTTGCAATAATTGGTAAGTTTAAACTATATCAAATGAAAATAAATGCAGTTTTTGTACTTTGAACCTTTAAAATTGTGAGCGTGGAAAGACCTCAAAAGATTGACATATAAAAACACTACACTTCTACTGCACCAAATACAGTGTATACAAAACTATACATATATTTTTCAAAAGAAATATTTTTCATAATCCAACTGGTATACAGAGACATCCTATCCCTACATTATTGAAATTGTAGGTTTGGGCCACAGTTTCATTTCCCTTTTAAAATTTGCTATGTATTTTTTTAAAAATAAATTTACAATTTCAAGTCCATAAACACTTACTGTCAGAAGTGGCATTCTCTTGAGTAGGCTGATCAGGGTCTGGAAGTCTTCAGTCTGACTCGCTGAATGTAGGGAAAGGAGACGCCAGGCTTTGTCCACCTGACCTTGTAGCACCAATCGAAAAATCTGAAATAACAAGTGCGTACTATTGGAAGATCGTTATTTCACAGTGTTAAATAACACTGAAAAGCATGGATACATTGTCTTATACTGTTTCAATTGAAACACTACACTTTATGTCCATTAAGTGAGGATTTACTGTATTTTAAGCCTATGGGATTAATTCCATGGGCTATAATTTTTACACTTTTCTCAACACCATGAATGGTATAGCAAATATTTACATCCCATGTAATTTTCCTTTTATACACGACATGTGTATTACATCCAGAATTACTTCTCCCTGTACAGTACTTTAAATCTACATGTTGCATAAAGGCAGTAGTGTCCTTTCTCTTTTGACTTTCTTACTGTTGTTCAAATATTTTTATTTGGAAACAATCAGAAATTTACCGTATCCCAGTAAACCGGACTGTTTCCCGGCTGTTCCTCTCTCACTAGATCACCGAACATGGTCTCCATGGTAAAATGACTCTTCCACCACTCCAATAACTGGGGAACAACAAGACCACCTTCAAGAAATTCAAATTCATTTTTACTTATAACAGATGAGACTCTGTGGCATTAAAAAACCTTGTGCCTCTTCATGAGAATTTTTCAGTCATATTGAGACAACACTACTTGCCTTGGGGAGGGGGGGGGGGGGAAATTTAGTCCTGTACTCAGCACTTACAGCCTTCGAGCATCTAGAGATTTTTTTTGTGCCAGTACCAAGTGCAACTCCTAACTTTGATTTATAAGGTCTCATGTGAGGGACTGGTCTCCACATCCCACAGTTGGATTTAAACCACAAATTAAGGATCAATTCCTTACTCAGACATCAACTTAAGATCCAACTCTCTTACCATAGTGCATATGAAGGCAACCAAAGCTCTCTATGAAGAGGACTCTTTCAAGAGGATATAAAAGAAACAAGCTAACCCGCAGAGCTCTATGTGAAGAAGATTTCAAACAAACGACCTAACTCACAGAGCTCTTTATGAAGAAGATTTCAAACAAACGACCTAACTCACAGAGCTCTTTATGAAGAAGATTGTAAACAAACCCAGCTTACCAACGGGACTCTCGATGAAGAGGATTTCACACAGACTCCAGATGAGCTCCGACATGTCCAGCAGCTTGATGTGTTCCATGTACTGTTGTCTCTGGTCCTCGTCTCGGCTGCTCTCTGTACAAGGATCAATGGCATTTTTCAAGCACTGATTTGTCAATAAATACATTAGAGTGCAAGAAATCAGGAGAATAATATGGTAACTGAGAAGACAATTTAAATGGTGTCCATGTACAGCTCAATAAATAATTCAGTGGTATTTCATTTTGACACCTTGGACTGCGATTGTTTGTTGAATACCATGAAATTATAATTGTATAAAAATATATATCACAAAATCAATGACACCTGCAAATTTTGATTGTGTCAAATAGAACTTTATCTATGAATGTGCTATATTTGAATAAGGTTCAATATGTAAACATGTGGTACAATTTTATTCTAAATGGATGACAAAGAAACATTACCTATCATTTCATCTAAGTCCTTTATGTAGGCTTTCTGTGTTGCTCTATAGTGTCTGCTGGACTTAAGAATTCTGTAAATAGTTTATTAAAAGTACATTATATAATCTATTCAAATGCAAACAGCGTTCAACACTGCTAACTGTCATACATGTTAACTCTCCCGATTTTACACCCGCTTTTCACTCCATCTCCCGCCTACCGATTTAATTCAGAAATCTACCGCTTTTCTACAAAAGCTGCGTCTAAAGTATTATATTGGTCCGCTTGGGTATCCTTTTTTTTTAAAGCCACTTTCATAAAATCTCGCTAGATATCGCGTGATTTTCTCGGAATCATACAAACGCTTTTTTTGTACATAGTTTTCAAGCACGGATTTGACAACGACAACAACATAAGACTACCAGTGATTACATTGGTTACGATAAATTAATCAACATCCCTGCCATGAAAAAGGAGATACAGCTTTTAAGAATTAGATGAAAACATTTGACATCGTCTTTAAAAGCACAGAAGCTCACAACTTTATCAATAAAGTCAATAGAAATCACTCGATTGGCCAAGTCATGTGGCACATCTCTACTTTCGTTTTTGATCATCGCGGGAAATCTGATTTATATAACGAAAGATACGAAGTCAACTTGTTTTAGATCTAATCTCTTAAACCATGCCATCATTTGTTTTGTTTAAAAACTGAATGAACATTCAGAATTATTGCTTCTAGGCTATACTGGCAAAGATCATTCTTCAAAAGGCTAAGTTAACATGGTTAAACAGCCAATCCAAGCAAAATGATGAGCATGAAAAATATTTGAATTTGTACAGTTTATGTCAAACTTAAGGTGTTTCTGTCTTCTTCTTTGCTGTTGATATTCAAGATTAATTAGTGTAGGTACCTGATTTCATTTAAGGCTTATAATATACATTTATATTACATGAAAGATATCGATAATCCAAGCGTTAAACAACACGCGCGCAATGCTACCGCTTTTGAGGTCTGAATCTCCCTCTTTCTCATCACAATAGGTTAACATGTATGTAACTGTAGATTCCTTGTTCCTCAAATGTTTACACCCCTTTGTACTTACTGTGTATGAAGTGCTGCTCCATTTAATCGAGAAGCTTGACGTTGCAGTGTAACAAATATATCTGAAATCATTATATTTCATTATGTAACTCTTTTTTAAAATTGTTTTTTTTAATAATCACATACATATTTACAGCTGTATTTTCTCTTTACAGTTCTCTTACTATGAGAATCGTTGACCATTTTCCTTAGGACTGGGTGGTGTAGATCAATGTCCCATTCAACTTCCCGAATCTTTTCCCATTTACCAGAGGCTTGTCTTCTCTCTTTCAATCATCAACAAAAAGAAGAACGAAACTTATATATAGAGCTGTAATGCATCACAAAAAAAAGCTTAACAATTGACATGACTGATGAGCATTACCAAAAAAATTAAATAGTTTTGTCAGGGACCTATATACTAGTCTATATTACTATACTATCAGTCTTCACAAAAACTCACTGGTCTGAAGACTGAGGCCAGTGAATTTTGAGGTCGGGTCGGGTCAGTGAAAATCAAAATTCAAGAAGTCCGATGGGCTTGTTGATCATAAAAATCATACAGTCAAAATTTATTTCAACTGACTTACTTGTGTAAATATCATTAATATATAAAATAAAAAGAAGAAGCTCGTGTTGTTGAATCCTATTATTTAAACCCTATTATAACATGGATGTATTACGTAACAACCAGAAGTAGCTAGTAATTATTAACTAGTACGTAAAATGTGCAAAGTTCAAACAAACAACTTACCGAAACGCAACAAAGGGCGAAAAATGGCGGCATCTCAAAAGTTGAAGTACGTAAACATGTATAAATTTACAGTTATGAAAATGTATTTATTTTCTTTTTTTTATGAAAGGGACCAGTAAAAATTTTTGTGGGCTAGTATAATTTGAAAGTTCACTGGTCCGACTGGCCAGTTAGTTTGAAAAGTTTTTGTGAAGACTGTACCATATTATATTTAAGGTCCCTGGTTTTGTACACGTTTTTGCTCTCTAGACTTTCTTTATTAAAAAGGAACATTGATCTCTATATTTCATATTATTGTGAGAATCCGCTACTTCAGTTCTTTTCTATCGAAAGTGCTTTGGTTCACTGCACTTTTAAACAGCATCTGTGAATTGGCAGTTATACCTGTGGAAAGAAGGGGATTTTCTCCTGGAAACGCAAACAGCCGATTCCCCGTACCCCAAACTGACCGCAGTCCATACTGGCATGAGGAATCCGAAATAATCAACTAAAAAAGAAATAAAGCCCTGCAATTCTTAACCTGGAATTTCTGAATTATTTGGGACGTGGTTTAGCATCACTGTTTTCTGAACATCAAAACAATTAAACATATTTTTAAAGCACACATTGATTTCATACAATTCATGCGATATTAAATAAAAATAATAAGATTTAAAAATAAACAGAGTGACTCAAGAAATTCTACATTCACTAATTCAGTTAGTGGTACTTGGACGACTCACGCATGGTGTTTCACTTTCGCGCTCCGCCATTTTTGTTGTTGTTAAAGGTTGCGTCGATTAACCCAAATAGACCCCAATGAATCCATAACTGCCCAAACTGGATTTTGAGACTGCAAAATAATTATTTTATATGTGTTAGGATTTCATTAATAAATTATTACAGTTTTAAGGGGGTTAAACTGATTCTACATGTTAGAGTAATTCATTTTTATCGAAGAGTATGCTCAATCTCCCATGCAGAGTTGTCGTTCGTTCCTCTCTCATACACGTGATGTATGAGCCGATGGTAGAGAGTGGAGTATGCTGGCAAAAGTACGGCGGCGTGTAAGTGCCACTTCAAATTAACAAAATATGGAAATTCGTTTGTAAATTTTTTTAATTATATATAAAAATCTGTTTGAACGATAAAGAAATTGGCTTTTTAAATTCATTTCTACGATTCAGAAATTTGTTTACAGTACATGAATTAATATTTATTGCTATGGTCTGATGGTCTTAAGGGTTCTACCCCCCCACCCCCCTCCTTCCACCTTAACCCCATCACACTTTTAAAAACGATGTAGGAATACATTTCTAGAAAAGAAAAAAAAAACAGGATAATGAACTTCGTTTTGCTTCATTGAAGTGTTTGATTGATTGCATGATTGCAGATTGATTAATGTCGCTCTCGAGAATTTTTCATTTATATGGAGACGCCACCACTTGCCGGTTGAGAGCTGCAAATTTTGTCCCAATGAGCAGGGAGGGATCCTTTTCGTGTCAGCACCTACTGCAACACGGGACCTCAGTCATTAAATTATTTTCAGACTGTGCACCAATCCCCCCCCCTACCAACGCCACCAAGAACCCCTGTTCCAGGGGCACGAAAATTAACCATTTAGGAAGAAGTAGCTCTTTTCATCATACATTTGTAATAAGGTTATTGACAAAATACCCAGTAGCAAAGGAAATACAGTGTATATGAACATTAGAGCACCGCCCTAACAAAAGATGCCCTGACCATGGGGCCCTGAAATTCACAATCTCAAAGAGGCATCCTTCCTCCTCATGACTATGTAGTACATAGTTTGTTGGTTTAATACCCAGGTGCAGAAAGAAAATTTTTGAAGAATATGCATTTTCACTATATAGTCAATAGAGCCCGATGCTAACACCAGAACATTCAACCCAGGAGCCATGAAATTTGTTTAAATCATGTCCCCCGCGGGTAGGAACGGGGCCACAATGGCCGACCAAAGTTTTACATAGACATATATAGGAAAATCTTTTTAAAATCTACTTCTCAAGAATAGCAAAGCCATGATTGGTCATGGGACTACTTTTGGATTTAAACTTTTCGTTAATAAACCAATTACTACTTTTTCCTAGTCACAGTGCTGAGGTGAGCGATGTGGCCCTTGGGCCTCTCGTGATCAACGTTTATAATTGGTCGTACTATAAGCATGGGCAATATATCTTACTTGGCTAACGACAGAAGGATATGTTGAAATATAAGTCCCCGAAAAGCAAAAACTATACATATAATCGCAGAAAAGCAGTATTATTTGTTACGGAAAAGCAGATTTTTTAATGGAAAATCAATGCCGTTTTGATTTTTGAGATAAATAGAACTGTGACGGTAATGTGTTAAAATGAAATATCAAAGAAAACAGAATATTATAATTGAGATTAATATCACTATTATATTTGTCGCAAAAAATGCATTTTGCAGTGAGTACGTGGAAGGGGACAGAGGGATCTGGACCCTCCGTATTTTTTCCAAATATAACTTTTTACCATTGAAAATGCTCTTTGAAAGCTAGGCTGGTCCTCCTCCTTTTCTTTCTTGCAATACTAGTAGTGAAAATTTGGTACTGAAAGGTAAAGTCGACTTTTTCTCTCTGACTGCCCCCTTTCAAAAACGATGATACGTCCTTGCACTTATTACTCAAGCTCAATGAAATACATGTCTCAAATTAGCAATCTTTGAAATGCATCTATCTCTCTTTCGATCTTCCTTGCTCATTTTAAACCCCCGCATGAAAAGTTGGAGGGTATACTGTAGTCGGTATGTCCGTCCGTCCGTCTGTTACGCTTTGGGGTACCCATCTCTTATCCTCAACTCCTCTTATACCACTAAGCGAACTTTGATGAAACTTTCACAGAATCTTTATTACATATTATGCACCTCCTATTTTTCTTTATGATCCGATACATATTTTGGGTTTCCCGGCCACAGCAAATCATGGACTTTGCCATAATAACCATATGTGAGGCGGGAGTATCATTTAGTGAGTTCATTGTTCACAGTGCCTCGTTTTTTTTCTCTTATTTTCTTTTATTCATTCCTTTATTTTCTATTACTTGTTAATTTTATTTTATATTACATTTATTACTTATTACTGTCCTACGATGCGATGAATTAATTAATCACCCTTGAAGTATTCTAATTTAATTAATTAATCGAACATGGATTTTTGTTGCACTCCATCATCTTTAAAGGTAGCTAAATCATCGTATTGACAACAAAAAAAAAAAAACAACAACAACAACAGCAATATTATCATATTAAAACAAATTATATCTTTCTTGATATTTCACATTTGATAACGCCTTAGCCAAAAGCAATTAAAAAATAAAGAGTGAAAATAAATCTAAAATATATTAATCTGAAATATCGTAATCTATCACATAGATGAAATATTGCTGACATCATTCGGGATTTTTCTTTCGTTCTTTTTTTATGAAGTAACTAGTCAATCAGTTCACTATTGCGCAAGAGATAGTGCAGACATATTGAAGTGGGGGGTAATTGAAAGGGGACGGACTAAACCAACAAAAATGTAAACCCCAATTTTCAATGCCTATATTATGTATATATCCGCAAAAAAGTGTGTTGGGGGGGGGGGGCTAAGCCAGAATAGCCCCCTCCCCTCTCCGGTTCCGACGCCTATGATTAAGATAGTTTCAGGCACGTAGCATCGTTTTTGAAAGTGGGGGATCGGTCTGAACGATTTTTTTACTCACATGGAAAACTTGACAATCACAAAAACTCGAAAATCCTATTTCGGGGTGGGTGGGGGTGGGGGGGGGGGTAGAGGCCAACTTTTTTTTCTGATGCCAACTTCATTTAGTACCTTTTTTGCATATAATATTGCATTTCCCTTATATTACTTTACCGTAGTATTAACGGGGGGTGTACTTCAATTAACATTTTCAGCAAAAGTTATGTTGGGAAAAAAGTGGGGAAAGGGGTGCCCTTCCCGTATTGCTACGTGCCTGAGTTTCTTATAATGTCAATGTAAATTGAATAAATAAAACTAATACTTCAGAAAATGTCGTATCATATGTGCTAAAATAAAATGTGATTCAAACTATATAAAGATATTATAAGTAAGGTTGATTCTCTTTTGAATGCGAGAGAGTATAACTCACAGTTAGGTCAAATCACTTTGATATCTATAAATAGAATAATCGATTGACGAACCTTGGTTTTCATTGGACACACTTTGGTCGTTTGATCTTCAGTCACGTGTTCATTTTGGTGGGAATATTTTTGTTGTCCTTTCGTTTGAAAAGTCGACCTGCGGAATTTGCGTGTGGGATCCATTGTCTTGTTCTAAAGTTGACATGGATTTGTAAATTCTTACACCGGGTGAGTTGTCTTGAATGCATTTTGTTCCATTTTGTTGTGCAAGTTTGATATTTTTGGTTCCAAACTTATCAGTACTGTGGACACAGGACAGTTGGGCAAATGTTCAATGATCTTTGCTTGTTTATCAGATGATGTGGTGCAATGGGAAATGCCCAGTTGACAGTATCTCTTCATTCGAGCGGCGATCCCCTAAACGACCAGAGAAATTTGTCTCTGCAGTCCTCAGCAGGTAAGTTCATGTGATAGTTAGTAGTTACAAAGTGAACAACATCGACACTGTTTTAGTAGTTCTTGGTAGTTACTTGGAGTATGAAGACGAGGCCCATCGGAAATCCTGGGGGCATATTTTTTATTTTCAGTTGGGTACTATCAACCATCAAAAAATCTTTAACAAGCACACAAAAAACGTCATCGAGCATTTTAATTGAGGGGACAGAACATATAGTAGCAATCATTTCTATAGTATTACTATTACTACATGCTTTCTGTAGTTATATACTGTATGTTTTCTATAGTATAATATATCAGCAAAATTAGGGGGGGGACTTTGCTATGGCCATGAAGATAACAAAGAGTACACTATGGTCAGACACAAGAATCAATATTACAGAGGTCTGTTACAATCACTAGATTCGGCCACATACATTGAATTAGTTATATTTCTTTCTCTGGTTTATCCAAAATAGATTGATTTAGCTATAGTGAGTTTTTTCCCCACAAACTGAATGGCTAATTTTAATATTGGTATAATATTTCAAGAATGCATATGTATATTTTAATATTGGAATAATATTTCAAGAATGCATATGTAGCTCCTAATTAATATTTTTTGTCATGGATTTCAAAAAGCCAACCCATTAAAGCAGAATATAAAAAAAAATGTTTTGCTTATCTTTGTACACCTTTAAGTAACAGTTTTTAAAATATGTGTGCAGTAAAGCAATGGAAATCATATTATCAAAATTAATGTCTTTTTGACGAAAATTAGGATTCTTTTATTACTCAATAACACTCTTAAGGTGGAATATCCCTCTGATAAGAGAGATAACTCTTCTAATAAGAGAGATAACTTTCTTCAGACATTTTGTCATGAAATTCAGTGAGTTGTCATATCAGAGTTTACAAGTTTTATTCATAAGGACAATTTTATAGTCAACTCAATCAAACCTATTCTATGGTACTAGTGTTGATATCTAGTTTCTATTGCTAGTATACTGATTAATTATTTATAATAGTTTACTTAAAACATTTATACTCAGTTCCTTTAAACAGTGTAAATTGAAAAATCTCTATCTCTTAAAGTATAATTCTTTTAATTGTACATAAATTTCAGATGCAGTATTGTTTATAGACATTTAATTAATAAATTAATAATTATAAAAACATCATTTTTATAATTACCTCATATTTCTAATTCAATTGTGAGATAAAAAATGATTAAACTTTCTATTGACCATATCAAATTTTCTTC